ATGAATTTTTAAGGTGCATATGTAGTTCTACATTTTAAAGTTGCAACTTTATATAAACCTTTTCATTTTTGAGTGCATGGTTTCTATAAGGTTGCTACAGTAAACAAATCAAATTAAGGCGATAATTTTGATGTAAAAAATACTTAGGAGTATCTAAAAATCTATTTTTATATCTAATTATAAAAATTTAAACTCTAAAAATAGTCAAAATCAAGTAGATCTATAACCATATGAAAATTTTGAAAATGGACAGTCTAGATAATACGTTACAAGATGCATTATTTTTTGGACAAATTATTATTATTATTATTATTATTTTCATATTCATACATCTTGATGCCGATATGACCGATTACAATATTTTTCAACATTAAAACAGCCTTTTCCGATGAATTTTTAAGGTGCATATGTAGTTCTACATTTTAAGGTTGCAACTTATATAAATTTTGTTCTAGTATGTAGTTTCTATAAGCTTGCAACCTTAAACAATCCAATTAAGACGCACCTCCAAAATGTTATCATACCATGTAATTTTGATGTAAAAAATACTTAGGATTGTCTAGAAATCTATTTTTATATCTAATTATAAAAATTTAAACTCCAAAAATAATTAAAATAAAGTAGATCTATAAACATTCATATCTGATTTTTTGAAATCCATTCAGAATTCTGAATTTTTCACAAGATCTTCAAAAAGTCACATAATCACATTTTTATAGCACGGTTTGTATGCAGCCAACTCGCGTATTGTAGAATTGTGGGCTTGATAATAAATATTTTTTAAAATATAATTTGATTCTAGTTTTTATGGATTATATATTCTGTAACATGGAGATCATGAATATGAAAAATAAATAAAATTGAAACCTAGAAATAATAATTATGTTCGGAAAATATTTGGACTATTAGTTTACACTTGTTTTTAGATTGACCACCAATTTGTATCCATCTTAAAGATGGATACTTTATACCTCTAGGCCACATATTATAGAAATACGGTCCAGCCCACATGAAATATTTTTATTTTTAATAATGGGACCAATATAAATATCTATTTTATTATTTTACAAAAAAACTTTTTTAAAAAATTTCTTCTCTATAACTTTATTTTTGATTAATTTAATATTATTTCCATAAAAAATTTCACCAATGAGTTTTCTTAAAAAAATATCCGAAAAATTATAAATAATATATCCCAAAAAAAATCACAGCAATTGTATATCTCAAAATAATAGGTAGAATTAGAAGAAGAGCAACCCAATAAAAAATCTTTCTTTTTCTTTTTTTTTAAACTTATGCATCCTTATAAATCACGAGAGATAGAATCACTTATACGAGAGTTTTAGGTAGCTTGGAATTCACTGCGAGATTCAAATTTACTTAAGCATTTTGCTGCTTTTCTTTTTTATGAATAGAGAAGTTTGATTAATTTCATTTTTTGTTTTCTATTTTTTATTTTATTAGTGTATACCACATAATAGCATTTTGGATGGACTACTAGTTTATGAGATTGTCTATAAAGATACCATTTATTTTTTGTACTTAGAGGTCACAATCATTCTTGTCCCTCAAATTTTAAAATTGGTGGTTGCAAAAATGTTATTGAATAGACACAAGTTTTCAAAGTAAATTCTCGGACTTCGCGACACATCTCAAACCATCCAAATTGACATCTAATGAGTGGGAATGATTGTAACCTCCATGTACAAAAGATGAATGGTCTCTTCATAGACAATCTCACTTTTATATATTTGGGTCTTCGCGTTTTCTTTTAATTAACTACGATCATATATTGAAGGCATTTTTTTTTTCTTCGAAAATAATCGTATACCTTGATTCACAGTTTTTGTTATTTAGTTATCTAAGCATATATGCGCACAAAAGAAAGAGGTTCTCATTGCTTTTTAAAAGAATACACAGGCAATAACTTGGCGCAATGTAAAGAGAGAAATTATGATATGAATGCTATATTTCACTCTATATCCAACAAAACTTTCACTCTACATCCAACAAGATATAACCTCAATCTCCAAGATATCATAGCGAGAACCCATAAACACCATATCCTCTTCAAGGGGTATCTACCCCATGAATCATACTCTAAAGTTGATACAAAACATGGCCTCTCCATTGCAAAATAGCCTAACAGAGTTTGAAATCTTAATCACCACTGTGAAGTGGAGCATTGGAGCTCTTTGCTTTGGATTATCATCTCATATAGGATGAAAGCTCTGTTTGGAACACATGTCCTCTTAACTTCGCTTCCCACCTTTCCATGAAGGAAGTTTGAGTACCATATAGAAGTCGGGGTGGGGTGCCTTTTGAAGTATCTGTCTTCAAAATCTACATAGTAGACACCAAATGTGTTTCCAATTGCATACTCAAAACAGTCCACAAAAGACCATACAAAATACCCCTCAACATTTGATCCATTCCGGCATGAAAAGAAAGGGTTTATTGGCAAGTCAGATATTGAAGACCTAGTTTTGAAGGCACCATCACCAATATGTGCAGTTGAAATTGGCTATTACAAATGGAGTTCAGCTGTCTAGTAAATTTTGGTTGATTTCTTTTTCCCTGATGGGTTACTTCAATTTATTGTTTGTTGTGTACAGTTATGAGGCTTTAGGAAGAACAGTATTAAAAATAACAAAAGTGCCATTGTGATTGGCTGATTTCAATGAACTTAGAATTTGAATTTGAAGATACCAATGCTATACAAGAGAAACTAAACTGAATAATTGGCTGATCTTTCCTATCAATCGGTTCCTGTTCAGAAAATAGATCGACTCTCCCCTCGATTCACAGCAGTGTTTAGAAAAAACGGTTATGCGATACATCAGTAACCTTCGAAACGAAACCGGAAGCCTATGTGACTAAACAACTCAGTTGAGAGCTCCATCAGTCAATATGAATGGTTCGGTTCTAGACCAGAGTTTATCGGATTCGCTTTGCTTTTGCTGAAGTATAAAGTCTTTGGGTTTTGCATACCAAATAATTTGATGTGAATTGCACTTTGATATATTTCAATCATATAGGTATTAATACTAGAAGTGTTCCAGATATATTCAAAATTTGTTAAAAATACCTATACAACATTAAAAAAAAATAGAACCACATCCATGATATTCAAAATTTAAAAAACATTGATATATTTTAAATAGATCTTAGAGCGCATATATATATATATATATATTGGTTTCTAAATGTATCCAAACACTTCCCTTGAATTAGCCAAAGAGCCGATGCATCATGATCCACATTTTGGAAATGGGTTGAGGTCAAGGTGGTAGTAGCTCCAATGACCCATAAAGAAGTCTCGGACTCCATTCTACCTGAGCCCTACTTAAAGGTCATGGCCTCCAATCTCACTAACACTTTTAAAAGAAATGACTCTTTTCAAGAGCGGGTCGGGCCTGTAATCCCCACTGATCTACCCAAAAAAATATCAGCTTATAACCTATAAAATGTTCTTTAACATTATATTCAAGCAACAGAAGAAACTGAATTACAACTACGCATTGGTCAAGTAGAATGTAGATCAAAAAGACATTAAACAGTCGTAAGCCCATAACTTGAATTCCCTCTCTATAAGTAGGACTCGAATCTCACTTTCTGATAATAGAGTTTTACATATATATTTTTTTAATGTCTTATGGCAAGAAGAATCTGCAGGGCCTTCCGAAGCATCAGCTCGGAGACATTCACTGTCAAGAATAAAAGTGATAATTATTTAAATGCCCGAACTTCGTAAGGAATTCTTGGGCTCCAGCACATCTGATTTTGAGACCCACTTTATTGAAATAAAAAAGATCGAATCCACCCAAAAGATATAGATTGAATAGATGGACTCCTCCCCAAGAAGCCATGATAAAGTTGAACAGTTTGAGGGAGAATCCAGAACAGCTCCAGTGGGAGGCCTGGTAACAAGTCAACTTTGTGCTCACAACAACTCGATCTCAGTCGGAGATGTATAAAGTATAAACTCTTTCTTTTCATACTGACTTATATAAACCATGTGAATAATATTTGTAACATAAGTGCCACTAACATTCATAAAGAGTTGTACTTGGACGTTCTAAGTTTCTTTAAAGTTTAAGAACTCACCTCGGGTTAAGTACTCGGCCTTGGGCCAAGGCAAACCCGAGTTCATATAATCTTAAAAAGGTATAAAAAAAT